AGTACTTTAGAACCATTTAGAACCATGGTTGCACTATATATATATATATATATATATATATATATATATATATATATATATATCACAGGTATAATGCAGCTTAAAATTTACTGATAAAATGCAGGTTAAAATTCAAAAGTTAAAATTGACTGGGTAGGCCTGTCAAAGACAATCCCACACCCCTGTTTTGACTTGGCCCATCAAATTGAATCTTATTCTCTTGGTGCACTCCTCTTGAGAATTATTCGTGAAAGACATGGAGAAGTTTGAGTGTCTAGATCTTTTCTGGACTTTGTGCTAAAGGAGGATAAGACTTCACACTTCCTCTCATAAGAAGTACTCTGTTGCATGTAAAGCATGTTGGCTAGAGTTTCCTGGCTTGAAGGTAGTCCTAGTAGAGCAGCATCCAAAACCTTCCTCCTGGCCTTTCGCAAAAGAGGTGCCTGAAGGAACTTGGTTAAGTGCCATTGCTGCCCACATTTCCTGCTCTGGAGCAATTAATGTTGAGGTCTCTCTTTGCTCATCTCAGTCAAACAGCTGCCATGCTTCCGACCATCCTTGGAGCTGGTGAGTGTGCAGGGATCACCACACATTTGCCAGGAAAATGACATGCAGATGTAGCTTGCTGGCTACAGGTCACACTTGCTAGAGGCTGATGCCATGCTTGCCAAGGTGAAGATGTTGGATGAAATTCTTGAACTCTGTACAAGCCTCTAGGCAGATAGACTGAATAGGAAAGGTCTGCCTAGGTAGAAACAACTTGAAAAACATGGCTCTAACTCAACAATATTTAATAAGGACATTTCTATATATGGCTCAAATGATGGAAATATTTTTATATATTAAATAAAACCTATCTAAGATATAAGCCAGAAAGTGTGTACGATTTATGGTGGGAATGAGTTGCAACAGCTGCATTTTTTCTTGACTGAGATTTTGAACACAATTTGGATTATGACTTCTGGTCCTGTGTCTAAGACCCTTCAACTAAAAAAGGGGAGCGGGCCGCTAATATACTTTGGGGAAAGCCAACAATATGTCTCAATGACAAACATCATTTTGAAACATTAGATTGTCAGCATATACTAACTAGGAGTCAGATTTTTATTGCAGTGAATGAGTCTTGTTCCAGAATGTTTTTTACTACTAAAAGTTAAAGCCATCTCTATATATAAAAAAAAACCTTTGAAATACTTTTTATTTTATCTCCTTTCCTTCTCTAAATATTTGAAGCCTGCCATGAAGAAACACTGACAGTTGAACAGGGATGTTTTCATTCTTGATAAAGGTGCTCTTAGAAGTTGAAGTTGTTTTCTTTGAAAACGGTTCAGAAGCTTAGAGCAGAATAATGTTAAAGACAGAACATTGCTTAAAAAAATATGCACACTCTCTTTCTTGCTCCCTCACTTTCTCTCACACACAGGGCCTAAACCTATTTCCAAAATAAGTAGTTTCTAATCCAGCTAGGATAATGCGGTCATAAAAAGGATGTCCAAATCCACCAATTTATATTGGTTTGGTTTGGCTTGACTTTCAAACAATTTAAAGCAGAAAGCATGTGCCATGTGTACACTGTAACTGGTGTAGGCATTCTCAACTTTTTCCCCCCAGCCTGCCACATTGTGTAATGCAAAAATGAAATGCTAACTGGGGCTTATAATCTTCAAGATTGCATGTCTTCAAGATTGGGTTTCAGAATATAATATTCAGATTACTATGGTTTTCCACACTTAAATGATTAACAATGCCAAACTTTTGAAAGGATAGCTGATAGAGGTGTGCAGTTTGGCCAAAAGGCATGTCGTTTTGGGGTCCATTGTCAGCTGGTCCTTCATTCTGTTTACCAGGAAGTTACTCGAACCAGAAGGGTTTTTGCCATTTTCTTTTGACAAAGATACGACCCATTGGCTACAATGGGAAACTTTAAAGGCTCAATCCTTTGCCATTTTAAGGCCAATCTGCATGAAACCTGCATCAATTGTAGACCCATTTACAACTGCAGACCAAGGTTGAAAACAATTCACCCAACTACTAATTTTTAAAAATTATTTTAAGTTTTAACAATAACATTTTTTAAAAATAAGGCAAATCGTAAGAGTGGGTTCTGGGAATTGTAGTCACCGGTTGTGTCCATTCTAAGCCAATCAGAACATGGACACTACCAAGCTTTTTATTCGCTGAGAAACAGGGAAAAAAACTCAGCTCGGAGACTATTCAATGCCTGCCCCACGAAAGTGCTTCTGGGAAAGAGAACTTTCCAAGAAGACACTGCTTCTGCTGGGGAAACACGGCAGACATCCCTGCCCCAGATTTATTTATTATATATTGCAGACTTAACTCCTTCCTCTTCAGAACCAATAAAATCTGGCTCAATCTGTTTTGATGGGTTTTTCATCCCCCTCTTCCCCATTCTGAACATGAATCAATCGTGTGATGTTGCAGCTGAAAAGCCAATGTGATTCTAGGCTTCTGGGAGTATAGGTTTTGTTTTGATTTTGTCGTGTCAGGAGTGACCTGAGGAGCTTCTGGTGTGAGAGAATTGGCCGTCTGCAAGGACGTTGCCCAGGGGACACCCAGATGATTTGATGTTTTATCATCCTTGTGGGAGGCTTCTCTCATGTCCCCGCATGAGAAGCTGGAGCTGATAGAGGGAGCTTATCCACCTCTCCCCAGATTCAAACCTGCAACCTGTCAGTTTTCAGTCCTGCCGGCACAGGGGTTTAACCCACTGCACCACCGGGGGCTCCGGAGTATAGGATGAAGTACTTTTATCACATAATGAGATGACAGGAAAGCTTGGAGAAGATAATGATGCTGGGGAAAATGGAAGGTAAAAGGAAGAGGGGCCGACCAAGGGCAAGATGGATGGATGTTAACCTTGAAGTTACTGGCTTGATGTTGAAGGAACTGGGGGTGGTGACGGCCGACAAGGAGCTCTAGCTTGAGCTGGTCCATGAGGTTACGAAGAGTCAGAAGGGACTGAATGAATAAATGACAAGGAGTATAGTGTAGAGATCGAGAGAAGTCCAGCCATCTCATCAGATGGCTAGTAGCAGAATGAAGTGGTGGTTCGCTTCACAGCAAGACGTGGGGAATCTGGCACCCCACACCTCGCATCGCCTGCCTCGCCAGGAGGGTGATCACATGGGGAAAGGGTAGAGTGTGCAGCTTCCCCCCCCCCCCCCATAGATTGAGCAGCACAGGAAGCCTCCCATGTTGCCAGGGTGGCAGCGGCAGCACACTGATTCTGCCCCTTTGCACCGACAGAGCCAGCATAACATCATTTGATGGGAGCTAGCTGGCTCCATGAATGACCAGAGCTAGATGATACGGTCGATAGACCCACTCTTTTCTGCTTCGTTCAGACCTCACCTGGAATAACACTATGTTCAGTTCTAGGCAAGATAAATATCCAGAGAAGGGCAACCGAAATGGTCAAATGTTGGAAATCAAGTACTATGAGGAATGGCTGAGGAAGCTGCTTGTGTTTAGCTTGGCGAAAAGAAGTGCAAAGGGGTATATGACAGCTATGCTTAAATATTTGAAAGATGTCAAAATTAGGAGGGGACAAGATTGTACTCTGAAGACAGAGCAATGGATTCAAATGGCAGGAAAAGAGATTTCACCTAAACATTGTGAATACCTTCTTAACTGTAACAGCTGTTTGACGTTGCATTATGCTACAATGGGGTGTGTTCACCTTCTCTGGAATTTTCAAAGTTGAGGCTGGATGGCCATCTGTTTGGAGTGTTTTGGCTGTATTTTTCCTGCATGGCAGGGCATTGGACTGGATGACTCCTCTGATCTCTTCTAACTCTAAATTCTATGGTTCTGTGGCTAACATTGAGATGGATAAGATTAGGGCAAATGTACCCTTTGAACCAAAGGTTGCACTTGGTGTGAAGAACTTACTCTGCAAAGAACTGTAAGGAAAAACCACACAATCCTATTGTCAGAAGGGCTTTGCTAGTGACATCCTCTGATGTTAAAGGAATGTGACTGCAAAGTAGAGCCAGTTTTACCATTGGACAGAAATGATTACCACAGGCAGCAGATTTTGAATGTCATGAAAGGGAACAAATTGTTAGTTATTTATTTGGAATTATTGTATGTTTACTGCCAGGGAAGGTGGTTGATGCGTGTTGGATGTTCTGCCTTACATGCAAGATTAATTTGACTTGTTTTAGATGCAATGTACATTGAATAATTATTGCACTGTAGCGTTTAGGAACTTTTAAAAAAAACTACACTTCTGGACAAAATTGTGATAGCTATATTGCATTTTCTGATTTTTTTTATAGTTTCCTTAACAAAATAAGATTTTATGCAGTATTCGATTTTTTAATAAAAACTATGCAAAACAAACATTTTCATTATTTTTTTGGAAGAAAAGAGTAAAATACAAAAAAAGATCAAGCCCCTTTTTTGAAAGGAGGTTTCTTGACACATTGAGATACCCTTTCTCATCAAGAACAAAACAATTTGATCATATTCTTTAATGTCTAACATAGACTTGGGTAGGTAGATATGCCATTTGCTGCTCTGGTCCAATAGCTGGCCCATACAACATTGCCTATTGTGTTTGCCATGTGATTTCTTGAATGCATTCTTGAAACCCTAGATCTAATGGTATTTTTGCATAGAGTTTCTTTAGCTTTGCTGTTCATGCATCAAATTATGCACATGATCACAAGCACAGACCTTTCCCTTTACTTATGGAAAGGGAGGTGTTTAAAGACATAGGTGCCATCTAGTCTAACACTCAACTAACTACTGTTTCAGAAACAATTGCTCTCTCTCCTCCCTTCAAATAAAAACAGAAATATGTACTTCGTTTTTGGAATATCATGTGACTCCAATCTATCTGGTGAATTATTACCAAGAAATTCATTGAAGTACACATTTCTCTGCGTTTGTTAGGACATTTGTATTTTCTCTTGACAGACATCTTAAGTACAGTAGTCACAGAAGCCAATATGAAGTATGCTTTTCTTTTTCAGGTTTGGATGTTGATGGAATATACAGAGTCAGCGGCAATCTGGCAACGATACAGAAGTTACGATTTTTTGTCAATCAGGGTAAGTGATTCCTTTGCCCTGTAATGTTTTGTTTAGTGCTTATCTGTCTGAAATGACAATACAATGGATTTTAGAAGCTGTGGTACATTAGTGGCACAGAATGATGAGTGGCATTTTGCAGACAAGATGAAGCAACACGTAGGGAGATACAGCAAACAGCCAGAAAATGGGTTGGAAGAGAAGAGAGGAGCAGTCATATCATAAAGACAACAGAATGGTGAAGCAGGAGGGGAAAGACAAAAAGAAGCAAAAAGACAAAAAGGACGGGGTTACACTCCCCCTGAAGACGCAGGTTCGCAGCTTGGGTGTGACCCTGGACTCCTCGCTAAGCTTGGAACCCCAGGTCTCGGCGGTGTCCAGGGGAGCATTTGCACAACTCAACTTGTGTGCCAGCTGCGCCCATACCTTGGGAAGTCGGACTTGGCCACGGTGGTCCATGCTCTGGTTACATCCCGGATTGATTACTGCAACGCGCTCTACGTGGGGTTGCCCTTGAAGACGGCCCGGAAGCTTCAGATGGTCCAGCGCTCGGCAGCCAGGTTGCTAACAGGAGCGGCACTCAGGGAGCACACCACTCCTCTGCTGAGCCAGCTCCACTGGCTGCCAATCCGCTACCGGGCTCAATTCAAGGTGCTGGCTTTGGCCTATAAAGCCCTAAACGGTTCGGGCCCCGCTTACCTCTCCGAACGCATCTCCACCTATGAACTGACTAGAACATTAAGATTGTCTGGGGAGGCCCTGCTCTCGATCCCGCCTGCGTCACAGGTGCGCTTGGCGGGGACGAGAGACAGGGCCTTCTCAGTGGTGGCCCCTCGGCTATGGAATGCCTTGCCAGCAGACATCAGACAGGCACCTTCGTTGCTGACGTTTCGGAGAATGGTCAAGACCTGGCTTTACGAACAAGCGTTTGGTTAGGCAATGCAACTAATTAAGGAAGACGGTAATTGAACATAGGAACGGCACAATGACTATGAGAATGGATCTGACTTTAATCGGAGGCGTTATATATGTTGTTTGTTGATTTGTCTTGTCTGATGTTAATTGTTGTGGAGCGACGTCGTCGTCCCTGTTGTTGTATTGCTGTGTTTTAATTGCACTGTAAACTGCATTGAGTCGCCTGTCAAGGGCTGAAAAATGCGGTATAAAAGTGAAGCAAATAAATAAATAATAAATAAATAAGCAGAAAATTAGGATATGACATTGCAAAAATACTGAGCCGGAGGAATATTTAAAAATATTTAAATGGCATTTCAGTATCGGATATAAGGAAAATGAGAGAAGGCGTTAAAAAGTCTAAAAATACGTGAGAAAAGAATAAATGATTTTTTAAAAAATAACAATAATAAAAAAATAGCCAAAACAAAGGCATTTCAGGATGGTGTCATTGGAGGAAAGAAGAGCATCTATCCAGAGTCACATTTGAGCTTTTGTTTAATGATTTTGTTGATTTTTCAGTAAGTCTAACATTCTCCAATAGTTGCAGAAATCAGCATTAGGTGGTAAGCAAAGCAATCCCAAAGGCTATTCATGAGGTTCATGCATTCCATCTTTCTGTAACATAATTTATATTACAGCAAGACTCTGATAGCTGTGCATACTCATATGAGCTAACAAGGATCATCTTTGATGTAGAACAAAACCACATATACTAAATTAAAATCTATGTCATGGATATAGTTAGAGATTTTCCTATTGACTATAAGGGCCTCTAACAACCTTTTCACATGGAGCTAAATTTGGCGGCATATGCCAATTTGGCTCTGGCCACCCACTGAGCTGGCTGGTTCCCATCCGACTCCAGCACAGCTTCATGGGTGAAGGAGGGCAGAGCTGGCATGTACCGCTGCCACGGCAACATGGGAGACTTCCCGTGTTTCCGTTCGACTCAATGGGGGAAAGCCACATACTCCACGCACATACTGTGCTACCACCATCACCACCACCCCTGTATGATCACCCTCAGCTGGAGACAGGCAATGGGGCATGGAGGGCTGGATTTCCCATGTCCACCAATGAAGCAGAGCAATGCCAGCGGCCATGTGACAAGGTCACAAGTCCTTTAGTGCTAACCACCTACACACATTTATTAAAGGCATCTTTGGCATGTATTTCAATGATGCAATTAAATAAACCTCATTTAAAGCATCTTAACTTGAGCAAGCATGGATTTGGATCCATGAAATAATCTTTGTTTTAATTCACATCAATTGGGGACATTTCAGAAATGTTAAAACTTCATATGTTTTGTATTTGGAAACACCTAATTAAAGCTGGCATTTTTGAGAACTGCAGGCTGAATGCTCACATAAGCTTAATGCTACTGAAGAGACGCAATAGGCGGTGATATGATCCATGGTAATCATATAGAGGATGCGTAGAGAAAATGCATTCTGTGGTCTACATATGGCCCCCAGCGCCCCTTTTTTGAAATTACTGAAGCCCAGGGGGGGTTTTTTATGTTACAGGAGAGAGCAATCAGCAAAATTCATTCCCATGTTCTTAAACGCATAGAACATAGAAACCAATATTCCCAAGTCTGCAATCTATGGATTCAATTCACCACAGAATCTAACATGCAAAATACTATGCAATTCACCACAGAATCTAACATGCAAAATACTATGTTTGAATCCATGCTGAGGGAAACACCAGCCTTTGAGGTCCAGCACTTGAGTTTTCTCATGTCAGAAGCAGGCAGCTAATGTAACTTGCTCCTGCCACTACTACTACCCTACACCATTTTAATGGGGATTTATAAACCCTAATATAGTAAAATCTTTACACATGAACATCCACTGTCCATCTAAACCTACCTAAATCCTTGCGTCTTATACATAATTCTACAAGAGTGCTGTGACTGTATTTGGGTCATTCATTTTTAAGGCATTTCAACCATAGTGCATATTTATGTCTTTTATATAATTTTTTCTTTAAATTTACTTTTGTATGCAAAGTAGTGTGAAGCAGTATTGAAAAGTTGCTGCTGCTAGCTTTCATTTCTTGCTCTTTTGTTAGGTGTTCTGTGTTCTCTCCTGTTCTATGAAAATGTCCTAATTCTAAGGTTAATATACATATGACACATTTATTTCTAAAGCACAGCCTCAAATTAAGAATACAACTATAAGACATTTAAAATTGGAGGAGAAAAATCCCAGAAAGGATCAAATTCTTCCCCAATGTAGTTCCACTGAAGCCTATTTAAAACATTTCTGTGAACTTGTCATCAAATGTATGCAAAGGATTTCATCACTTTGAGTTTGATGGAATTACACCAGGGATGAACTGAGTCCTACATCTCTGTATGAAACTGAATTGCCAAATCCATCCCAAGCCACCAAGTCAGTAAAGTCATTCAACTTAAAAATAAAAAAAGTCAAAGCTCTTATTTCACCATGCAAGCTCTAGTCAGATAGCACTTCTTCCTGGTCCCAGAAGTCCTGTTTTAGATGTTCACTCTCTGTTCTCACTGCTGCTTTAAAGTACTGTGGAAGAAACCAAGCTACTTGATCAGTCATCTCTTAATGCATGCTTGCCTTCACCTTCGTTCTTCATGCAAATCCCGCAGTTTGCCCAATACAACAAACTAATATGAAGGGTAATTCTTAAATGGGGTCTTTTTGTCCCTGTAAGAAGTGTGTGCACAGAGCTTCTTACCTTCATGTAATACAATGACTGGGATGTGCTACATCCGGAGGTTTAGGACACTTAGAAGTGGGAGAAATGAGATGAAAACTTATAAAGGGCTGTTATTTCATTCTTAAAACAGTTTTGCTTGATATAGCATTGTGTCCACTTTCCCTTTATTGTTCCCAGAGAGGAGAAAGCTCTTGAATGCACACTTTAGTTTTTGTTTCTGTCTTCTCATTTCTCATTTGTTCCAGAGTTTTGTTGCTTCTGTTAATATTATTCAGCAATAAGCATTAGCCAACACTGCATGAAAAATCCATTTAAAATGCCCCAAATTGAACAGATCATCAATCCTTATATGAGCAAACTACTTGAATGTTCATTTCTACACTGTCAGTTGGCCATGTATGATTCTTACATCAAAATGCCTGCTCTGTGGAGTGCAAAACTGACATAAATTGAGACTGTTCTCATTTCCTTGTGACTGGAATCTTGTACCGTGGTTGCACATTTTTAAACATTGTAGGGAAAGCTTGAAAATATCAATTGTACCAAACTATATTTTATATGGAATGAACTGAAGTATTATTTCTGTCCTTGCCTTTGTATTGTGAACATTATCAGCCAGATCAAAACTTGAATAAGTGACTACTGTTAGGGATGGGGAGAAGAAAAGAACAAAACATTACAATTGTCAATATATATTGGTAAACATTTTAGAAAATGTCCTCAAATGTGTATTAAAAATCTAATTGAGTCACTTTTTTCTATTTACTGGGTTTTTTTTTATCATATCACATCTTGGTTTTACATTCAGCAACTATGACTATAGCAAAACAACTGCTTATTTATTTTAACCTCGTGTGTGAGGCATTCTCTTTGTACAGAAAACCAGTGATAGTGTACCTTTTTTTGTTAACTTTAAGGTGGCAAGATTATCTTTTATCTATGATTTATATTTCCTATTATAAATGGAAAGAATCTTGATTATATGGCCTCTGGGTGATAGCATCTTTCAATATGTTCACAGCTAGAATGCACAGCTACAATAAGTCAAAATGATATTTTGTAAACACTTACCTGGAAGTAAGTCTGATTGTATTTCCAGCAAGGCTTAGTTCAGAGTGGACATGTAGGATGACTATATGTCATAACAATTCCTGGAGATAAAGTTTTGAATCTAATGTTTGTCTCATCTAGAATATCAACTTTGAGTCAATAACAATTACATAAGTACTGAGTTACCAAGTTCTGTTGATCTGGCAGATCTACTCTGATTGGCATAATTAGATTTATAGTAGCAATGGTTTTTTTTTCCTTTTGTTAAAAAGGCAGGATATAATACATGTATTCTATAGTCCGTTTCAATTGTT